ATTCTGGACCTTGTTTTCTTCGAATCAGAAAGCAACGTTAGGCACCGGCCGTGTCCCTGGTTCGGGGCCTTCGGGCACCTCCTGGCACGGCGTTCTGGTGTGGTAGGGGCGCGTGTTTTGGCATCTTGGGGATGCCATTCTGGACTTTGTTTTCTTCGAATCAGGAAGCAACGTTAGGCACCGGCCGTGGTTCGGGGCCTTCGGGCACCTCCTGGCACGGTGTTCTGGTGTGGTAGGGGTGCGTTTCTTGGCATCTTGGGGATGCCATTCTGGACCTCGTTTTCTTCGAATCAGAAAGCAATGTTAGGCACCGGCCGTGTCCATGGTTCGGAGCCTTCGGGCACCTCCTGGCAGGGTGTTCGGTGTGGTAGGGGCGCGTTTTTTAGCATCTTGGGGATGCCATTTCTGGACCTTGTTTTCTTCAAATCAGAAAGCAACGTTAGGCACCGGCCGTGTCCATGGTTCGAGGCCTTCGGGCACCTCCTGGCACGGCGTTCTGGTGTTGTAGGGGCGCGTTTTTTGGCATCTTGGGGATGCCATTCTGGAGTGGCCGCGTCCATGGTTGGGAGCCTTCGGGCACCTCCTGGCACGGTGTGGTAGGGGCGCCTTTTTTGGCATCTTGGGGATGCCATTCTGGACCTTGTTTTCTTCGAGTCAGAAAGCAACGTTAAGCACCGGCCGTGTCCATGGTTTGGGGCCTTTGGGCCCCTCCTGGCAGGGTGTTCTGGTGTGGTAGGGGCACGTTTTTGGCATCTTGGGGATGCCATTCTGGACCTTGTTTTCTTCGAATCAGAAAGCAACGGTAGGGTAACCATCCTAAGCCGCGCTATAACCCCCTTAACCGGGGGTTGGCGGGATGGGGCGGTAGCCCATTAATTCGGCTCCGCCGGCTCCCCACGAGTGGCTTGCCCTACGAGCGTCCCAGAGCGACTATAGAGCTCTATGGTGAGGCGCGCCCCAAGCCGCCGACCCTCCGACGCCGGGCCCCAAAAAACACAAAAAATCCTTCAGCCTGGTGGGGGAAAGCTTTTTGGACGGAATTTCGGTCGCTCAGAAGCGTCTCCAAGAGCACTTCCCCCCCCATTTTGAGGGTACTTAAAATCGGGAAAAAGCGCCGTTTTGACACATGTTTCGGACGATTTTGACTTTTTGAAAGTCATAAAATGCTGTAAATTACAGCATTTTTGCGTTTTAGCGTCTTTGGCGGGAGCCATGCAAAAACGCAGAAAATGCTGTAAATACCAGTACTCTTTTTACCAGAGATGCACAAAACACTGCAAATACCACGGTTTTTTGAAAGCAAAGCAAAAAACACTGCAAATTACAACATGTTTGCTTGTTTGATCGCAAAAAAATGCTAGTATTTACATGGTTTTTGCAATTTCAAAAGAACGTGTAAATTACAGCATGCTTGCACTTTTTGAACCGATTTTTTGTCTTGATGAACGCAAAAAACGCTGGTATCTACGCGTTTTTCGAAAAATCGAAGATCGTGACGTGAACGAAACCCTCTAAATAACAGTGTTTTAGCCACTGTGGTATTTACGCGGGTTCTTGCCATCTGACAGTGCAAAATGCTGTAAATTACAGCATTTTGTGCGCTGTTTATGTTCAATTTTTAACCGCGCGATGCTCTCACATGTTCTTGGCATTCTTCCACAAGAAACAACATTGCAGATTGAAACTGGACCACAGCGTGACCCGAAAGAAAGTTGGAGGGAGGAGACGCACAGAAGCTTTTACACACACAGGGGCTTTTGCACAGAGAAGTCTTTACACAAAGGAGCTTTTTACACACAGAAGGTTTTACACAGAGAAGTCTTTACTCGAAGGAGCTTTTGCACACAAACATCTAGGAGCTTTTACACACAGAAGTTTTTACACGACGAAGAAGTCTTTGCACAGAGGGTTTTTTACACACAGATGCGTTTGCACACAGAAACTTTTACACAGAGAGAAGCCTTTACACGGAGAGTTTTTACACACGGAAGCTTTTACACACAGAGAAATCTTTACACAGACGCGCTTTCACACAGAGAAGCTTTCACACACAGAAGGAAGCTTTTACACACAGAGAAGCTTTTACACACGGAAACTTTTACACACAAAAACTTTTACACAGAGAAGTCTTTGCACAGAGGCGCCTTTACACGAAGTAACAAGTTGAAATTGGCAGCAGTTCTTTAGGAAACCCTTCGCAGGAGCTTTCGGGAACTCACTTGCTCCCAATAAAACCGTCTATTTCCAACAAATATGTTCCAAAAAACCTAAGGAATATATTTCTGAAGCAGGTCCTCATTCAATAGCTTTCAAGCCCACACTGCGATGAAATAGAGGGCCGAGTAGTCCGGCGGAGCCGACGATGAGCGTCAGCTCAAAAATAAACGAATAAACGATGAATGAATGAAAGCACGAATAAACGAACAAAGAAACGAATGAATGAACGAATAAACGGATGAACCAATGAACGACTGAATGATCGAACGAATAATAATGAACGAACCAAGGAAGGAACGACCGACCGACTGACCGACCGAACGACTGAACGACTGAACGAACGAATGAACGACTGAACGAACGAAGGAACTAATGAGTGAACGAATAAACGAATAATGAATGAATGAATGAATGAATGAATGAATGAATGACTGAATGACTGAATGACTGAATGACTGAATGACTGAATGACTGAATGACTGAATGACATGAATGACATGAATGACATGAATGACATGAATGACATGAATGAGTGAATGAATGAATGAATGACTGAATGACTGAATGACTGAATGACTGAATGACTGAATGACTGAATGACATAATGACATGAATGACATGAATGACATGAATGACATGAATGAGTGAATGAATGAATGAATGAATGAATGAACGAATGAATGAATAAACGACTGAATGATCGAACGAATGAACCAACGAACCAACGAACGAACGAAGGAACGAACGAACGATCGGACGAACGAATGAATGAACGAACCAATGAACGAATGAACGAACGAATGAATGATCCAATGAACGAACGAAGGAAGGAACGAAAGAAAGAACGAAAGAAAGAATGAAAGAATGAATGAATGAATTGTTCAACACAAGCATGAAAAATGGATAGGTCAATGATTTTTGGCCTGCACTGCGTTCCGCGCCCTTTAGATCAGAACAAGACCATGTTTTTAGTTAAAGAAGACAAGCACATTTCCCCGGAAGATCTGCCAAATGCTCATTTGACATGTAATTTTTACACTTCGTCCCACCTTTCTCAAGGACGCAGACTTTATTCTATGATAGAGAAATAGGGAATGAATTGTTTGATGCAGTCCTGGAAAATAAGGTTAAGTTCAGTTGGCAAGCAATTGATTGACAGCTGCCACGAGTCTCTAACTCAGAAGTTTCTCATCCAAACTAGGCAACTTTTGGGGAAACAAATCATATATCGAAATCTATTGATATTCACTTGCAACGTAACTGAGCCACCATGCCTGGAAAAACATGCCGATGATGGCCATCATAGCCAGGCGTCCATTCGCCAACTCGGCATTCAATCGCCGGGTCTTGGTCTCAGGGTCATTTCCGGAGAAGATAGGTGGGTTCCATCCCATGTCGCCAGGAGTGCGCTTGTTTACATCTGCATCATATCCTGCTGAAATCTCACAGTAAGCGCAGTAGCCAAAGATCTGAATCCAGCCCGCCAATGGAACCTGGTCAAAGGCACTGCCAATGTCACTCCAGAAAGATTTCCACGAATCTTTGCAACAATGTTTTGATTTCAAAAGTTCGACCACTTGCTGTCACTTGTAAGGATCCGTAACGCAGCAAAACGTGCCTTGGAAATGGCAGCAAGACCGTTCGGAATGTCAGAGAAGAGCAACTTGTTGGAAGGGGACAAGTAGCCAGGGAACTTGCCAGCAACCTGTCAAAGACCACCGCTTGATTCGCATCTTAAACACTCAGGCAGGCACCACTGACATGTTGGTTCGGGGTGGCAAGAAATTCGCCCAGCAAGAGCCTCTGGGGTGATGTAGCCCATGGTTGCCTCAGGAGCAGCAAAAACAAACACTCAGCCCATGTTCAAAGCCTTCCAGTCCATAAACAGCAACTACAGTCCACTTGCGAATTTGCACTCAAATGATCTCAAATGTGCACAGTGTACGCAAATCCAGATCCTTTGGTTCAGCCAATGTTCCAACATGCAGATGCGACCGTGCTTGAGCTCAACGGATCGGCGGCGCTTGAAAGAGTACAGGTCGCCATCAGAGGACAGGCCCAATGGGTCCCAGAAGCCCAAAGGCGCCTATCGCGAGTCATAGACTGTGTCAAGTCAGCTCCCCGCAGTTTTGATTCAACATATCTCAACTGGTGAGGGCCGGTGAGGGTCCAAAAAAAACGACAGGTGCCTGAACGCCCAACTCCTTCTCAAAGGCGGTCAAGTTCACCTGTACGATCGAGCCGGGCGGTGCTAAAAACATCAAAGAGGTCCGTCATTGGCCAACACAAAATACGTGTATACAGTTGGTATGTCCAGAAAATGTAAATGTATGGTATGATAAAATCCTTTGATAACATTGAAAGTCTATTGTATGGGATGTGCAGTCATCCTTTGAAGAACTGCGCGAATCACAAATTGCTAAAGTTCTGTGCATGCATCTGCTCCGTTGACACAAGGTGTTTACCGTAGCCACGGACATGCTTTCCCATGGTTATTCCTTATCATGGCTGGTATGCTTGAAATAACATGACATAACTACTCCTATTAAGCAATGGATGTTCATCCCCCTGTATAGTACATTTTGGTACTCAAAGGTCTATTGCCAGTTGCCCACAACATACAATCATTCTTTTGGAGTACTGAAAGGAACCTCCAGCAGAATCATCTGAAGATTCATGCAAGAGATGATGTCAATGAAGAAGACACTCTGGTCTGAGCAAGGTAAATATCAGAGTGTTATTGGGGAAACCAATGAATAGCTTACAGCCCTCCCTGCGGCCAACTACCCTGCAAGAGACATTTTGGCGCAGACTCTTGAAGTGTAAATGAAGTAGTAATGCATTTCGATTCTAACATTATCCCATTTACCAACAGCACCGTAGGGACCAGCACAGCCGAATGCATGATCTTTCACAACATGCCCCACATCCTCCCTCAGAAAGACGCAGGCTTCCCTTTCACAGAAGAACTGGCGCACCCGCGTTGGCTTGACGTTTCCGAGAGCCTGCCAGGTGGCAATGACCAGAATGACCAGCCAGGGGTCGCTGGTTTGGAATGCTCACATACCCAATTGAGGTGCAACGTCTTCGTCCGAAAACATGGCAATCTGAATGATTACAGAGCCAAGCTTTCCTGAAGTGCATACGTGCCCAACATGTTGAGTGCAAGGGACAAATGACTGCTGATTCTGTTTCACCCAGATCCGGGTCCAAAAACAGTTTCCCATTTTATAAACCACGAGCTCATCATTTTCCCAAACAAATCGACCACATATTGAGGTATCTACCATGGCATACAGCACATCTCACACATCGCCCTGATATCTGCTGCCCCACCTTCCGCCCACCCGCGGTCAATGCGGCCACTGCTGTTCCAGCAATCGCCAGGGATGCCGTTTGACTATGCGCTGCCTGGAATCTTGTCCGTTTCCCACGAACTAAGCAGCCAAGTGATCAACAAATTACAGAACCGACTAACTATAGTAACCTTCATTTTACGTGTCTATCTTTTGGGGGTTGCTGTAACTGAGATTATTTGCTGGCTAATTACCTGTGACTGGCAGAGGAACCAAACATTAACTCAGGGACGAGCTGCCCAACAAGCTAGCTGACCACATTATAGTTATCTCGCTAATAGACTAAGCAACGAACAATACAATCAGACAAACGGGGAAAGAATGCAACTGACCAAGTGCAGCAACTACGCATAAGCACAAAACAAAAGACAATGATCCACACTCAACCAAGAACCAGCACCCAGCATCATCGGCGTCATCATCGTCATCATCATCACCATCATCAGCAGCAGCATCATCAGCATCATCATCATAATCAATGAAAAACAGCAAGAAGAAGAAGAAGAAGACGAAGCAAAAGCAGAAGCAGAAGAAGGGCAAAAAGAACAACAGCAACAGCTGTTGCATGCATCCCAGGAATCACAACAACAGAGTGGCATGAACAAAAATATAGATAGTTAACTTAGAATACTTAGACAATCATAGATATTATAAACATTTAGATATATATATATATATATGTTCTATTACTTTCCATGGGTTCCCACTGAACTAGCACTTACACCACGACTGCATCTTTCAACCTCCACTCGGCTAGGGTTTCCCGAGGAGGTGGAGGCAGTAGATGCCTGAGTTCAGCCATGCAACGGAAGATGTCCCTGGTTGGTAAATGGGGCCTCCAACAAACACAGGAAAAAATGTTTAACTAGGGGGAAACCGATATCTAACGGGATAGAATGGGGCAATGATTGGAAAATCTTGCGCAATCAAGATTTGAATGTAACTCCCCAAATAATCATCAAACAACTGAGGCTTTTGAAACTGCCCAAGTTGATACGGATCAAGACTATCCACAATTGACTGGCAATTTGTGACGTTAGACCATCCAATTTTGGGGAGTGTATACATTGTAGCCAAGTTAGTGTCGATTTGTGCTAATTTAATCCTTTACAGAGGGGTGATGTGCAACTACTGTAATAAGCTTTCCATCTGGGGTGAAACCTGAAATTCCAACCCACACCCAAATCAGTGGATGCTGCCTTGATGGCGGCACAACGGCCATTTTGCCAGTTTGGTTGGTTCGATCCCCGGCATCCCTATGGATCGACATGATCGACACTGGGAAGCCCTGTCTCGAAGATGACCGGAGGGACCGGAGGTTGGAGCAATGAAAGAAGTACCGTAGAGGACTGCAGCTGCACCTGTGGAAGTTCAATCATCACGCGTAAATTATGAAAGAACCCAACAAAATTAAGTACGGATGATCATTAGTCATAGGTGTACTGTCGTTTTCCACTTGAGGGCCGGGGGGAACAGTGGGTAACTGAGGTGGCCACCCCACTCGTTCCATCTCACGACTGCAATAAATCCAACATATCCAACCCAAAGTTATCCAAAGCTTATTGATATCAAAGCCCGCCGCTTCTGAAGAGAAGTATCACAGGCTGACTGCGGTTTTTGAACAAAATCTGATAGAAGCCACGAACCCGAATGCATTTTTCAAAGGTTCACGTAGAAGTACAGAACAAAGAAAAGCAAACAGGAGATGCTCGATCGCATTAAAAAAAACCACTCTTGCAGAACACTCTTGCTTGACACTCTTCTCGCACAAACATGTGGGACACTCTTGCTGAAGACTCTTGTGGCATACTCTTGTGGGGCACTCTTGTGGGGCACTTTTATGGGACACTCTTGTGAGACACTCTTGCTCGACACTCTTGTGGCACACTCTTGTAAAACACTCACTCAGGACAATGTTTTGGGACACTCTTGCTTGACACGCTGGCTTGACACTCTCTTTCAATGCTCTGGAACACTCTAGTAAGACACTCTAGTTGGACACTCTTGCTTGACACTCTTGCTGAATACTCATGCAAGACACTCTTGTAAAAGATTTTTGCTTGACACTCTTCCTGGGACACTCTTGCTTGACACATCTGGAACACCTCGCAGTACTTTACAAAGTTTTCACAAAGCACTTCTCAATACTACTTTATACAACAAAATTTCCACAAATTACTTCCCAATACTACTTTAGACTTGACACTCAACACTTGGCACTTCACGCTCTCCACTCTGCACTTCACACTCCACACTCCACGCTCAACACTCCGCACTTCCCACATCACACTCCACACTTCACACTCCACACTTCGCACTTCACACTCCACACTTCCCACTAAACACTTCACACTCCACTTCACACTTCCCACTCAACACACCACACTACACACTTCACACTCCACACTTCACACTTGTACTACAAAGCTTGCACCAAATACCTTCCAATTCTGCTTTGTATTGCGCAGCTTGCACAAAGTACTTTCCAGCACTACTTTGTACTACAAAGCTTGCACAAGGCACTTCCCAGCACTAGGTTGTACTGCAACTCTTGCACAAAGAACTTTCCGGTACTACTTTGTACTACAAAGCTGGCACAAGCCACTTCCCCGTACTACTTTGTACGACAACCTTGCCAAAATACCTTTCAGTACTACTTCTACTTTGTACTACAAAGCTTCCAGACAGTACCTCACAGTACTACTTTATACTGCAAATCTTGCACAAAGTACTTCCCAGTACTACTTTGTACTACAAAGCTTCACCAAAGTACCTCCCAGTACTACTTTGTACTGCAAATCTTGCACAAAGTCATTCCCAGTATTACTTTGTACTACAAAGCTTCCACAAAGTACCTCCCAGTACTACTTTGTACTGCAACGCTTGCACAAAGGACTTCCCAGTACCCCTTTGTACTACAAAGCTTGCACAAGGCACCGCCCAGTACTAGTTTGTACTACAATCCTTGCAAAAGCAACCTGCCGGTACTACTTAGTGCTACAAAGCTTGCACGAAATACCTTCCAGTTCTATTTTGTACTGCAAAGCTTTACAAAGCTTGCACAGAGTAATTCCCAGTACTACTTTGTACTGCAAAGCTTCCACAAAGCACCTCCCAGTACTACTTTGTACTGCAATGTTTGCACAAAGTACTTCCCAGTACTACTTTGTACTACAAAGCTTGCACAAGGCACTTCCCAGTACTACTTTGTACTACAAAGCTTCCACAAAGTACCTCCCAGTACTACTTTGTACTGCAACGCTTGCACAAAGGACTTCCCATACTACTTTGTACTACAAAGCTTGCACAAGGCGCTTCTCAGTACTACTTTGTGCTACAAACCTTGCAAAAATACCTTTCTGTACTACTTTGTGCTACAAACCCTGCACGCTATACCTTTCAGTACTACTTTGTACCACAAAGCTTGCACAAGGCACTTCCCAGTACTACTTTGTACTACAAACCTTGCAGACGCAACCTGCCAGCACTACTTTGTACTACAAAGGTTGCACAAAATAACCTTCATTACTACTTTGTACTGCAAAGCTTTACAAAGCTTGCACAGGGCAATCCCCAGTACATCCCAGTACTACTTCGAACTACAAAGCTTTCACTATTAGTTGGTACTGAACCCAGTACTACTTTGTACTGCAAAGCTTGCACAAGACACTTCCCCGTACTACTGTGCACTACAAACCTTGCAAAAGCCAGTACTACTTAGTACTACAAAGCTTGCACGAAATACCTTCCAGTACTACTTTGTACTGCAAAGCTTTACAAAGCTTGCACAGAGTAATTCCCAGTACTACTTTGTACTAGAAAGCTTCCATAAAGCCCCTCCCAGCACTACTTTGTACGGCAATGTTTGCACAAAGTACTTCCCAGTACTACTTTGTACTACAAATTTTGCAAAAGGCACTTCCCAGGAACACTTTGCATTGCAGTACAAAGCTTGCACCAAATATTTCCCAGTACTACTTTGCACTGCAAAGCTTGCACAAGGCCCTTCCCAGTACTACTTTGTACTACAAACCTTGCACAAGCAACTTCCACTCCACACTCCACACTCTACACTCCACACTTCACACTTCACACTCTCCACTCCACACTCCACACTCCACACTCCACACTCCACACTCAACACTCCACACTCCACACTCCACACTCCACACTCCACACTTCACACTTCACACTCCACGCTCCACACTCCACACTGCACACTGCCCACATCACACTCCACACTTCACACACTCCACACCTCACACTCCACACTGCACACTCCACACTTCACACGTTCCACTCCCCACTCCACACTTCACACGTTCCACTCCCCACTCCACACTCCACGCTCCACACTTCACACTTCACACTCTCCACTCTCCACTCCATACTGCACACTCCACACTCTGCACTTCACACTTCACGCACTCCACATTTCCCACATCACACTCCACATTTCATACATTACACTCTCCACTCTCCACTTCACACTTCACACTTCACATTGCACACCTGACACTGCACACTTCACTCTCCCCACTCCACACTTCACACTTCACACTCCACACTTAACACTTGAGACCTCTCCACGCCACACTCTGCACTTCACACTTCACACACTCGACACTTCACACTCCACACTCCACACTTCCCACATCACACTCCACACTTCACACTCCCTACTCCACATTTTGCTCTTCACACTCCAAACTCCACACTTCCCACATCACACTCCACACTTCACACTTCACACTCCACACTTCACATTCCACACTTCAGACTGCACACTCCACACTCTTCACTGCACACTTCACACATCACAGTCCGCACTTCACAGTCCACACTTCACACTTCACACTGCACACTGCACACTCCACACTTCACACTTCACACGTCACACTCCACACTCCACACTCCACACTTCAGACTTCACACTTCACACTGCACACTTCACACTTCACACTTCACACTCTCCACTCTCCACTCCACACTGCACACTCCACACGTCACACTCCACACTCCACACTTCCCACATCACACTCCACACTTCACACTTCACACTTCACACTCCACACTTCACACTGCACACCTGACACTGCACACTGCACACTCCACCCTCCACGCTCCACGCTTCACACTTCACACTTCACATTCTCCACTTCACACTTCACACTGCACACTTCACACTTCACACTCCACACTTCACACTTCACACGTCACACTCCACACTCCACACTCCACACTTCACACTTCACACTCTCCACTTCACACTGCACACCTCACACTCCACACTTCACACTCCACTCTACACTTCACACTCCACAGTTCACACTCCACACTCCCCACCCCACACTTTACACTCCACACTTTACACTTCACACTCCACACTTCACACTCCACACTTCACACTCCACACTCCACACTTCACACTCCACACTCCACACTTCACACTCTGCATGTCACACTTCACACTCAACACTTCCATACTTCCATACATTTCCCACATCACACTCCACACTTCACACTCCACACTTCACACTCCACACTCTCCACTTCGCACTTCACACTGCACGCTCCACACTTCACACTCCACACTGCACACTTCACACTCCACACTGCGCACTCCACACTTCACGCACCACACTTCACACTTCACACTCCACACTCCACACTTCACACTTCACACTCTCCACTCCGCACTTCACACTTCACACTCAACACTTCACACTTCACACTCTCCACTTCACACTGCACACTTCACTTCACACTCCATACTTTAAAAATGCACACTTCACACTCCACACTTCACACTTCACATCCTCCACTCTCCACTCCACACTGCACACTCTCCACTCCACACTCCACACCTCACACTTCAACCTCCCAACTCCACATTTCACACTTCCCACATCACACTCCACACTTCACACTCCACACTTCACACTGGACACTTCACACTCCACACTTCACACTTCACACTTCACACTCCACACTTCACACTTCACACTCTCCACTCCACACTTCACATTCCACACTCCACACTTCACACTTCACACTCTCCACTTCACACTGCGCACTTCGCTTCCCACTCCGCACTTTAAAAATGTACATTCCACACTTCACACTGCACACTTCACACTCCGCACTGCACACTTCACACTTCACACTTCCCGCATCACACTTCACGTTTCACACTCTCCACTCTCCACTCCACACTTCAGACTCCACATTTCAAACTCCAGACTTCACATTTCACACCGCACACTTCAC